CCTGTAGTCCCAGCTACTCCGGAGGCTGAGGCGGGAGAATGGCGTGAACCTGGGAAGTGGAGCTTGCAGTGAGCCAAGATCTCACCACTGGGGGCGACAGAGCGAGACTCCATCTCAAAAATAAAAATATAAATAAAATAAATAAAATAAACCTGCTTTTTCACTCCACATTGGCATACATGTCCTTCCATCTGTCACTGTGTGTAAACCAATGTCTGCCAGGCGCACTGTAATCCCAGCACTTTGGGAGGCTGAGGCAGGCAAACCACGAGGGCAGGAGTTTGAGACCAGCCTGGCCAGCATAGTGAAACCCCGTCTCTACTAAAAATATAAAAAATTAGCTGGGCATGGTGGTGTGCACCTGTAATCCCAGCTACTCGGGAGGCTGAACCCAGGAGGCAGAGGTTGTAGTAAACCAAGATCACACCACTGCACTCCAGCCTGGGTGACAGAGTGAGACCCTATCTCAAAAAAAATAAAGATGATTTTTTTTTTGAGATAGGGTCTCACTCTGTCGCCCAGGCTGGAGTGCAGTGGTGTGATCATGGCTCACTATAGCCTCAACCTCCCGGGTTCTGGTGATCATCCCAAGTAGCTGGGACTACAGGCACACATCACCATACTCGGCTCATTTTTAAAATGTTTTTTGTAGAAATGGGGCTTCATGTTCCCCGGGCTGGTCTCGAACTCCTGGACTCAAGTGATCCACTCACCTCGGCCTCCCAAAGTGCTGGGATTACATGTGTGAGCCACCACGCCTGGCCATAGCAACATCATTTTTTAATGGCTGTCTAGAATTCCACTGTATGGAAATGCCATAATTTGTTTAATGTCCCTAATAATGGACGGGTAGGTTGTTTCCAGTTTTTTACCATGATAACTAACTCTGGGACTGATAGTGTTGTACATTATCATTGCTTATTCGTCCAGTTTTTTCCCTGAGATAAATATTTGTAAATGAAATGTTCCAGTCAGTGGCCTAAGTGTCTGTAAAGGTTTCCTAGCTCCTGTCCTGTCTTTTTCAGTCCCAAAGACACCTGTCGAGGTCCCCAGGAATTGTGTCTACCAACCTACCTTCCTATCAGAAGAGATCTCTGCTACATCTCCCAGACAGCAGCATGGGGGAGGAACAGAATTCCAGCATCTCCCCATCCAATGGAGTGGAGCGAAGAGCAGCCACGCTCTATAGCCAGTATACATCCAAGAACGAGGAAAACAGGTGACATGCTGAATCCTGCGCGGTGTGCTGAAGACTTCCCCACACCACCTGAGGCTGAACCACAGGTCCCTCACTAAGCTAGGCCTGTGCAGTACTGTCTTTTATAAACTTGAAATGGATTTGCTTTAACTTTTGTAATGTCTTAGATGTCTCTTTGAAAAGAAAAAAACAAAATTACAACTAAAAATAATGCCAAGAGGTTGTAGTTATTTGTAGTTGAGTCCTGATGGCTCTTATCTCCTGTCTGCCAGAACGTTTGAGGGAATATGTGTTAGCCAGCACTTTGTCAGTGGCAAACATCCGAAATCCAGCTTATGCTAGCTGAAGCAAAAAGGAATTTACTCACATAAACTAGGACAGTCAAGGGTATGCTAGCTTCTCACACAGTATCTTCTCTCCATTTCCTGGCTCTGCTTTGCCCTCTCTCTGTGTTATGTCAGTCCCAACATGGCACAAAAGATGGCTACTGATCATTCCAAGCCTCACAGATGTGGTAATCCCAGCAGAAAGCAGCAGTCTTTCCCCAGGGGTCTAGTAGCAAAATTCCAGGGAGAACTCTATTGGCCATTTTTGGCTCATCTAGGGGAAATAGAGACTTGACAAAAACAACAGACATCCCCTCCCCTTTACAGCATTTCGTAAGTGTAAATCAAAATTAACTCTCCTGTCATCATTTCTTCTAGGTCCTTTGAGGGAACACTTTATAAAAGAGGGGCTTTGCTGAAAGGTTGGAAGCCCCGTTGGTTTGTTTTGGATATAACAAAACATCAGGTAATACTCTTAAAGCCAAAAGAAATTATTTCTGTCTAGGCTAGTCCCAGTCCCCGGCTATTATGTGGCTCTAGCAGACAGATTCCTCATGTACAGACTGCTTTTTTAGTGCCTCTCATATGCAGTCTGGAGGCTCCTCAAGGGCCCCAGATGTCCCCGAGTAAGGGCAATAGCCTTCCGAGGAAGTTTCCCAAGTAGCTCGGCCTGGTACTTGCGGCTGAGGCAGCAACAGTTGAACCCAGAGCATACAGCAATAGAACTCTTTTTTAATGCTCAGATATCTCTTGCTGCCTGATCTTAAAACCCAGGTGAGGGGATTCCTGAGGTTTTCAGCCTGTTGCATACATGCACATATAAGCCTGTGCCTGTGAACCCTCCTCAGAATACAGGTTACCTTTGTCCTTGCAGCAGAAAGCATCCATTCAAAACGGAGGGCATTAATTTATTCTACAAACATTTATCGAACACCACCTCTGTGCCCATTGCTGTACTGGTTAGTAAAGAAGGCACTGTTACCCTTCAAAGATGGCAGCAACAGGGGAGCAAAGGGGCCCCAAAAGAGGCAGAAGGGGATGTGCCCACCCAAACTTGGAATTCACCATGGGCAAGTACTAGACTGGACCTTGCTGACTATGTCAAGAAATCTTTTGACTACTGTTAGGTTCTTAGCTATTCCTGTAGCAGCCTCTGCAATCCTTAGCATCATAGTCTTTACTCCAGTGATTTCAAGGGAGAGCAATTCCTACCCAAACCTCCAGCAGCTCTGCACCCTGCATTACTGAGAGCTGCATGGTCTCCTGTGTTCTGACTGCAGGCCTTACTCTACCTTGGAATTGACCACTCAGCCTTGAGGCTGAGGGTTACACATTTTGATTGTCAATGCATTTACTATAAAATGGAATCTGTTAGGAAAAACCTGAACTGTTACGCCTATAATACAGTGCTTTGGTTGGACCTGCATCTAGAAGACTCCTTCCAAATGAAGACTATATTTGGGGTCCAGCTTTTCCTCTACTTAAGGAATTTCATAATGATTACAGAGTCTTTGTGGGACAATATAGATAACTTATGTTCTAATATACAAATGGAAGCCCTGTTAGGGAGCTATACTCTGAAATCATAGCGCCTACACTGTGTAAAAAAGTTCCATTAAACTTCTAAATATAACGTAGGAGAACGTCATAATTTTTCTATAATTTACAATTACATCAAATTATACTTACATTCTTACCAGTCTTCTGGACTTCTTTAACATGAAAGATACAGTTTTTCCACTTAGCCCTGCTTATACCATGCCTGAGAGGAGAGAGAGAGAAAAGTCTCAGGCCAGAGCCACATTGTCAGAAGCACTACTTTCCTGCCATGTACACTAGAGAGTAAAATCCACAGATTATGGGCCAATAAGGCTTATTCCCTAGCAGTCTCTTTGACATTTTTCCTTTTTTTTTTTTTTTTTTGAGTCAGAGTCTCGCTCTGTTGCCCAGGCTGGAGTGCAGTGGTGCAGTCTCGGCTCACTGCAAGCTCCGCCTCCTGGGTTCTCGCCATTCTCCTGGCTCAGCCTCCCAAGTAGCTGGGACTACAGGCGCCCGCCACCACACCCGGCTAATTTTTTGTATTTTTAGTAGAGACTGGGTACGGGGTTTCACTGTGTTAGCCAGGATGGTCTCGATCTCCTGACCTTGTGATCTGCCCGCCTTGGCCTCCCAAAGTGCTGGGATGATTTTTTTTCCCTTTTTTTATTATTCCAAAAGGCAATATATGCTTATTATACCACATTCAAACATTTCATACAGATCTCAAAATCCCCTGTGTAGTCAAACGCTAAGCTATTTATTGTGTTCTTCAAAAATCATTTTTTATCTACATGCTGTCGGCAACTTGATCTTTAAAATGTCTTGAACAGTTTTCCTATATGAGTTCTGTATGAACTCATATAGATCTTCCATATTGTTTTTGAAAAGCTCTATAGTATTCCATTTTATTGATGAATTGTCATTTAATGTATTCACTGCTGCACTGAAAGACAAATACGTCTTTTCCAATGTTTAGCTGATAAAACAAAGCGGAAGGAAACTTCTTCATACATCTTTCTTTGCATGCTTATAGGAGTATTTCTGTAGGACTACTTTATAAAGGTGGGAAAGGTGTTTCTTTTTTTTTTTTTTTTTTTTTTTTTTTTTTTGGATGGGGGTTCCCTCTTTTCCCCAGGGTGGAGTGCAGTGGCGCAATCTTGGCTCACGGTAACCTGTGCCTCCCTGGTTCAGCGATTCTCCTGCCTCAGCCTCCCCAGTAGCTGGGATTACTAGTGCCCACCATGCCCAGCTAATTTTTGTATTTTTAGTAGAGACAGGATTTCACCATATTGGTCAGGCTGGTCTCAAACTCCTGACCTCAAGTGATCCACCCACCTCAGCCTCCCAAAGTGTTAGGATTACAGGCGTGAGCCACTGCGCCCAGCGTGGAAAGATGTTTCAATAGGCATAAGCATTCTAAATTTTAGTTGATATTGCCAATTTGTTCTCCAAAAAATTTCCAACAAATTATATTGACACTGGCAGTATTTGAGATGATCTAGTACCTTATTGGATATCATCAGCCATTTTTAATATTTCTCAATCCAAAAGTGGAATCTCATTTATTGTCATTTACTTTTCTTTGATTAATGAAGTTGATCATCTTTTCAAATATTTATAAGTCATTTGTATTTCTCTGTGACTCGCCTGTTGAGATATTTTGAGCATTTTTCTACTAGATTGTTTATCTTTTTCTTATCAATTTCTGGGAATTCTGTATATTTCTAAACATTAGCCCCCTTTTTATATGTTACATATACTTTTTACAGTTGTTACTTCACTTCTTTTTTTTATTTTGTTTTTTGAGACAGGGTCTTACTCAGGCTGGAGTACAGTGGCAGGATCTCAGCTTACTGCAGCTTGACCTCACAGGCTCGAGCAATCCTCCCACCTCAGCCTCCTGAGTAGCTGGAACTACGGGCATGCACCACCACGACTGGCTAATTTTTGTATGTTTTTGTAGAGACAGGGTTTCACCACATTGCCCAGCCTGCTGTCGAACTCCTAGGCTTAAGTAATCCATCCATCTTGGCTTCCCAATGTACTGGGATTACAGGCATAAACCACCATGCCCAGCCTTAATTCTATTTTTTAAGATGTAATACATTTATTTGTTCAATTTTCAAACAGTACATAAGTCTTTCCCTCAGTGCTTTCTCCAAGCCACCTAGTTCTTCCTAGAAGCAACAAGTAACATTAATTTTTTGTGTATTCTTCCAGGCATAGTTTAGCACATATAACCAAGGTACAGAGGAAGGTATTCCAATACAGTTTGAAAAGCCATGCCATTTTCTCTTTCTGCGTCTCTGATATCTCACTTGTATCCTTTTGGTTCCAGCTGCGATACTATGACTCAGGTGAGGACACGAGCTGTAAAGGCCACATTGATCTGGCTGAAGTAGAAATGGTCATCCCTGCTGGCCCCAGCATGGGAGCCCCAAAGCACACAAGTGACAAGGCTTTCTTTGATGTAAGTTGATCTTACTTCTCTTTTTCTGGCTCTGCCTGCACATCATTCTATCTGTCTCCAAGAATGATGGAGCCCTCAGAGCAATTGGTGGTGACTACAGATGGATGACAGACCCCCTTGGCTATGGGAATTGTTCCAGAGCTTGAACTCAGCATTATTGACCCCAAGGCTATCCTCTCTTCCTGTCTGTATGTCTCAGAAAAGCTGTATACTGCTTTATGCAAAAGGAGTCCAGCCGCACATGGAAACAGATGAACTCCTTGTTAAATGCTGTTAGTTCAGTTACTACCTACTTTCAAGAACAGATGCTATTTCCCTAGTATTCAGCGGTCTTCATGCTTGACCACCCACAAAAGACTGTCCTTAGGCACACATGAGAAGTATCTACCCTAACATCTTCAGCAGCCCTCACGTGGGCTATGGGGCACTTTACAGGCCACATAATAGAAGGGGACTTATGTAGTCCCTGGAGTCAAGCAGGGCTTCATAAAGAAGATAGGTCATCCTTTATTGCCCTGCTCAGGCCATGAGATCGTTTTCCTGACAGTGGGCTTCCAATATGGCTCCAACTGAAGAAAGGGGACACAAAGGCCAACTTTATGGTATGGATGAATCTCAGGCATCCCCCTGGAGCACAAGGAGCTCCCTCACCTTTAGTGCATTGGTGCAGTGCATGGGAGAGGTTAAAGGCACCATTCATTGCTGACCCTTCCTCCTTAGTCAAAGAAGACACTAAGAAAATGCAAAGTAAGGCGCTCTCAGTGTGTCTCCTTTTCCTGCCAGTACCCTTCTATCAACATCCCCTATCACTCTAGAGACCAGAAAAGTAAAGGCAGTAACAGTATGGTAGTTGAGGAGAAAAATTCATACGGAGGTTCTGGGGCAGTATGGAAAAGAAAGGTCACAGGGACTGATTTACCACTTACCCAAATATATAAAACAGCCCTGCCCTTCATCTCTGGTTCTCTGTCATTTGGTTTTGTAGCTCAAGACCAGCAAACGTGTGTATAACTTCTGCGCGCAGGATGGACAGAGTGCCCAGCAATGGATGGACAGGATCCAGAGCTGTATCTCTGATGCCTGATGCCCATGGTCAACCTATGCTGAAGAAATAGAGGAACTCATGCTGCCAGATAGAAAAAAAAAAGCATGGATCCTTGAGGAGCTGATGACACGTTATCCCAGGGCCTGAGGTTCTCCTGCCCAGTCCCTTCTTGCAGGGGTTGCTATATCTACTTAACCTGAATAGGTGTTTCACACAGGTCTGGTCAATAGCCCCATGCACTCCCTATATCTTGCACTACATTTTTCTAACAGAGTCTTAGTGGTTAATGATCAGAAGATGTCTCCTGAGCCAACTGTGAACCTCACCCAGGCAAAATGGCTACCACCTACTTGGGTCCTTCTTCATTAAAGCTATAGATCCTTTTTTGTTCTCCAGGGTCATAATTTGCTTGGAGACCTGTTTAACAAGCAAAAATCAAAACCCTCCAAGATTGTCTCATATTCTACCTAGACTAGGTTTCCTATGAGAGGCATCTACTTGTACTGCCTGACCTTTGAGATGCTCAGTTCTCTGATGCTGCCAAAAGGTGCTTCCATGGTCCCTTCTCTGCCATTGGGGTTCACAACAAGAGATGTCATTGTTCAGTAGCAGGCAAAGAGGAAGCACACAGCATTATTCTGATGGAAAAAGATTATCCAGGGAATGGTACAATGACCAGCCCAATGCAGGAAAACACTACTTCCAAAACATTAAATTCTCTATCCAAAACGTTGAATTCTCTAGACCAGAGGTGCTCTGAGGATCCAGGGCCTTGTGTTCTTATGTATCTTCTGCTTCCTGACAGTTTCTTTTTCAAAATAACATGCAAAAAAAGCTGAATGCACTAACTCACAAAACAAACACTTGCACCGAACTCCCAATGAAGTGAAGATGTTGGAAAGACAGAGGCCAGCTATTTAGGACCACACACACCTGTGACAAGGGCTGTGTTGACCACAGTCACACTGTGGCATGACTGGATACCCAAACTACACTTCTACACATGAAAAGTAAGAACTGTCTTTAGATTTTCTTTACTTTGATAACTTGTGTTTGTTTAGCTTAAGACCCAAGAAATGCTGTTTGCTCATGGTAAACAGAAACAGCATCTTTGCTACAGCCACTGACACCAGCTGGCATCATAGGTAGCTAGATCATTGCATTTGTTTTGAAATGTTAATATGTTAAATACTAAACTAATATTTCAAAAATGTGTATATATGATTTCTATATCCTTGCTTTTCAGATAGCCTGCTTATAATTTAAATTAACTGATGCATTCATAAGATTTCAATAATGAAATGGTTCCCTTTTTTAAAAATAAAAATACATTGTCTTTGTAGATTAAAAATGTCGGAATTTCAAATTTAAAATTGTCTACACACTAGGAAATAGAACTGTGTTAATATATAAGAAATTCGGGGATAATTAAGAATGAAGGACTTTTCTATCATTTCCATTTTATAAATTGCCACCTGTGAAAATGGTTTTTGCACATTATTTGTATTTTTCTTTGTATATGAAATAATTTTTTGTACTTTGTAAAATATGGAGCCCATTGTACCTTCAGCTATTTGAGACTATACACAGTGCTTCTTTTGTAACTGGACTATTTTAACTTTCGTGAAGGCATTACATTGCCTCACATTCACTAACCACCTTGAATTAAATTTATTTCTTAAGAAAAAGCATCCCTCATTTACTGTGAACTGAAGTTCGTTCTGTAGTGCACAGCACGCAGGAGGGTAACACTCAGGATTCATACATGGGACTAAAGGTTCAAGAATAAAACAAAGCATGGCCCACTTTGTGTCTTCATTCTCCTAATGTCATCACTGCCCTTTGCTCAAGAAGTAACCAGGGATACTGAACATGTTAGCATGAGCTTCTGGGTTCCAGACACACTTCTGCAGAGTTTAGGTAAGAGACTTGAGGCCAAGATTCTCACATGTGCTGCCACTCCTACCACTGTCTAATAAGCTGTTTGAAATTGCTTAAGTCCCTTACCTATTCTGGGTCCATTCCACCACCTAGAGTATATAGTAATTTGTGAAAATTTTAGGCATGAGACACTGAAGTCTGAGCAGCAGATTTTTCTGCTTCAGGGAATTTTTTTTTTTTTTTTTTGAGACGGAGTCTCGCTTTGTTACCCAGGATCTGGAGTGCAGTGGCACGATCTCAGCTCACTGCAAGCTCTGCCTCCCGGGTTCACACCATTCTCCTGCCTCAGCCTCCCAAATAACTGGTACTATAGGCACTTGCCACCATGCCCGGCTAATTTTTTGTATTTTTAGTAGAGACGGGGTTTCTCCGTGTTCGCCAGGATAGTCTCGATCTCCTGACCTCGTGATCTGCCCTCCTCGGCCTCCCAAACAGGGAATTGTTAAACAGCACAAATGATCAGTGATTTCAGTTCTAGACAGTACTTCTCTGGTTAAGCCCATGAGTTTACCTCATGTAGCCAACAGAGAATGCAAGTTTCCATCTCAGGGCTGAGCCTTTAAGTCCTTTGACATCCAGAGTCCTCTGAGCCAAGCAAGAGGACCCCAAAGAGCCACTGAGGCTCAAGGTGAGACAGTGACATATTCCCTGAGCTTTCGGTTCTCCTCAGTCTCAAGAGCATGCTGATCTAAGCCAAGGGCCCTCAAGCCTTTCCTTGGTCCTGGGCCTCTCAACAGCTACCATTACGCATTGCTGTGTCCCTGAGATTCAGTCAGGCAGGAAACAACTGGGATTAGGGGTTGAGTAGAAGCTGTGTTCACAGTGTCAGTATCTGGATGCCCTTCATTCCTCAGGTCTTAACTGTAAAAGGGGAGAATACTGGGTTCTGTAAACCAAAAATAAAATTCTAAGACCCCCAGATAACTGAATGGATCCTTCTCAGCCAAGGGAGTTCCAAAGAAACCTGAAAAACGAGTTCCAGTCATGATGCTGGGGCAAGGAGGTGGACAGGCCTCATTACAGCCTCTCCCTTTTGGAGTTTAGACACAACAGACTAGCATTAACATTAAAACAGATCTTAAGACTGACAAAATAGACTGTCACAATAAAATACCAAATTCCAACCTGACTCTAGTATAGCATCACATAACAGATAGTAAGCCCTAAAGGAAATCAAAGCTTTTTTAATCCCAAAATACATTCCTTTTACGTATTTTGAAATGGCCCTGCAAAGCTGTATCTTGGGGGGATTTACATTCTATAGAGGATCCCTTTCCCTTCCCAGGTCTTTTTCTGATCCTGAAGAGATTAGCTAAGAGTCTAGTGCCTTTTATTAAATGTCTGAATAGGAAATATTTGCTATCTGTTGCCTCTAAGGGCAGCCACCTATGAGACTTCGTCTACATAAGAAACTAGGTCTCTGCAACCCCTTATCTTAACCTAGACTCTCAATTTCAGCCTTTTAGATAATAACTTCTTCAACCAATTGCCTATCAGAAATCTTTGAATCCACCTGTGACCTATAAGCTTCCGCCTTTCCAGGCCAGACCAATTTGTACTTCACATGCATTGGTTGATGTCTTATGTCTCCCTAAAACATATAAAAACAAGAGCCTTTAACCCAACCACCTTGGGCTTGTATTCTCAGGACCTCCTGAGGCTGTGTCCTGGGTCACAATCCTTAACCTTGGAAAAATAAATCTCTAAATTGATTGAGACCTGTCTCATATACTTTTTTGCTTTACAGTTCCAAGGGAGAAAGACCAGGGCTTGGCTGCCTGCAAGAGCCTTAACAGGGCCCTTCCTTCTGTGGTCCCAGTGACAAAACCCTTCTAATATGGGCTCTTGAAAGATGCAAACTCAAAGGAGCACATAGCATAAAGTCACTTCCCAACCCCTTTGACCCAAATCCTTTATTCCCACCTCCCAAACCCCTTCACTCTACTGTCTCCACCCCGGAGCTAGAGCTTAAACTGCTAATAACATGGCAGATTTGCTTCTCAAGGGAAACTGACATTTTTAGGTATTTAATCAGGGGTTCTTATAAGAGTTGTTAAGTAGCCCTATCATCGCATAAAGAATTTCTGAAAGATCCCAAGTTGATAACAGGGAAGTGCCCTCAGCAATCCCAGCCAAAGCTATTAATTAAGCAGTGAATAAAACAGTGTTGATGAAGAGATAGGGTTTACAGCAGCACCATCAAGCATATATAATGCAAGCCACATAGGTATCTTTAAGTTTAAAAAAAAGATTACATTAATTTTAATATATTTGTTTTTACCATATATTTACTCCAATATATCAAAAATATTTTAATGCGTAAACAATACAAAAAAGTTAATGAAATATATTCCTTGTTCATACTAAATCCTCAAAATCTAGTGTGTATTTTATACTTACAGCACATCTGAGTTTGGACTAATATGTTTTTTTCAGAGGCCACTTCTGATAAAACAAATGCATATCATGTTTCTATACCAGTTCTCCAACATCAACTGGACATCCAACAATCCAGTTCAAGTCTGACACTAACTCCCCAGATTTAGCACAGTCTCCACAAGTTCAGGTCTGTCTTTAAGACTGCCCCCACTTCAAACACTAGTTGCAAGTTCCAAGGGCCACCAGAACTTCTAACCAACCAGCTATAAATATGAAGGTTTCCACAACCCCCTTCTCAGGTTCAGTAATTTGCCAGAACAAATCACATAACTCAGAAAAACACTTTACTTACATTTACCAGCTTATTTCTAAGCGATAAACCTCAGGATCAGCCACAGGGAAGAGATGCACTACGGTATGGAGGGAGGCAGCACACCACCTGCCCAGCATCTGATGTGTTCACCAACCCAGAGGCACTCCTTATCTCATTATTCAAGAGGTTTTACAACCCAGTCTCCAGTTACCCTCCCTCCCCCGAGGTTGGGGGTGGCTGAAAGTTCCCACCTTCTATTCACTAGTCTGGCCTTTCAGACGACCAGCACGCATCCTTAACCTAGCTAGGGACCCCACCTGAATCACCTTGTTAGCATAAACTCAGGTGTTGCGAAGGGCAGTTATGAATAACAAAAGATACTCCTAAAGGGTGGGGTGTGTTAGGAATAACTTTTAAAAGAAACTACCACTTCAGAAATTTCTAGGGTTTTAGACACTGTGTGCCAGGAACCCAGAACAAAGAACAAATATATTTTGTACTCTACCACAACTAGCCTTATTTCCACTGCTACCACACTAAACAATACATATTTACAGCAAATAGTCTGCTCACAGCAGAGCCGTGCTGGGTGGTAAGAGACCTGGCTTCTAGTGCTGGCTGTCTTCTAATCTCATCTATGACCTTGAACCAGTCCCTTAACTTTGCTGGGCTTTAACTTATAAAAATGCAGGACACAGATGATCTGTTACTTTGTGATTCCAAATATTTACCTTGGCAAGGACTTAGTTTCCAAACTGAGATTTAAAGGATTTGCTGAAAAATCCAAATCATCTAAATCAGTGCTTCTCAAATTATAATGCATATATGAATCATCTTGTTAAAATGAGATTCTGATTCAAGAGGTTTGGGGTGGGGCTTGACATTCTGCATTTCTAATGAGGCCAGTGCTGCTGGTCCAAGGACCACAGCACTGGTCCTTGGTAACAGAATTGTTCTTGGAGTAACAGAAATGTGTCTCAGTCCTCTGAGAAGCAGATGCCTGATAGGCAGGAACTCATGGAAGGCTGGAAGAGCCAAGAGACCATGATGCTGGTATAATCCTTTTGAAAAAGAAAGGGAAGCAAAGTTGAGTGGAGAAGACTTGGATTGCAGTGCAGTTCTAAGGAAGTTCAGCAAGGCAGATAAGAAGTCCTTGAGCCATCAGGGGAATCCCACATATTCCAAGAATGGGCCTTCCTAGGATCCCTGCCATGCTCAATCATTGGCTAGGAGCAGTTCATGGGAAGCATGGTTTTGGTGGAAACACAGTAATAGATTTCAGAATATACCAGCTGAGGCCAACAGTCAATGACAGTCACTGCAGTCAGAAATCTTTCATGGTTGTCAATGTTAAAGTTGTCAGAATCAAAATGGAGTCACTTATGTTTATAAAAAGCAAAACAAAACAAAACAAAAAAGCCTGATAAATTGAGCCAGGAAAAACTATGAAGAGAGAGTACTCATGCATAAATACCTGATAACAAAAACTATCATAAAAAACTGCAAAACTTGCAACCTTGCACAAAGGCCATTGCAACCTTACACAAAAATTACTCCTTTGAAGGCATCTGTCCAGCAACTGCCTGTCCAGCCTTGGATTAGTGTCACCCTTGTTATTGATCCTTGTAGCCAGGATAATTTTCTCAAAACAATTATGTATTGATCCTCACTTTTCCTTTAAAAAACCTTTGTGGTCCTTTACCTCCCTGAATACACACATAGCTTACTATGGTGTTATATAGGTATTCCCATTGCAATGCCTTTGATGTAGTTTGGATGTGTGTCCTCACCCAAATCTCATGTTGAAATGTAATCCCCAGTTGGAGGTGGGGCCTGGTGGGAGTTGATTGGATCATGGGAGTGGATTTCTCATGAACGGTTTAGTACCATCAACTTGGTACTATTTTCATGATGGTGAGTAAGTTCTCCTGAGGTTTAAAAGTGTATAGCATCTTCCCCGTCTCTCTCTTGCTCCTGCTCTGGCCATGTGACATGCAAGTTCCCACTTGGTCTTCTACCGTGATTGTAAGATTCCAGAGGCCTCCCCAGAAGCAGATGCCACTAT